TTTCCCATTTTTTTACTGTTGCTGTTCAAATCACTGCTATCTCCATTACTGAACGGTACTTGCACCACCGCCGTTGCTGTTCAGTTAGATTGGCTTCTTCATGTGGTTGTAAGATTACTTAACTCTATGTAATTAATGCAGCATTAGAACCATGGCAAATATGATGAATACGATTTCCTGCTTAAATTGTTTTACTATCCTATTCCGTATTCTCTCCCCGTCTTACAGTTATGCTAGTGTGGCTAGGTCACTGCTCTTATTTGTAAATTCAAGCAAGCAGCAGCAAACTACCAACAGGTTTAAGCTGTGTGCTTCACTTGATCGATATATAGTGTTTGAACCTGAATTTTACCTTCTGTGACCAGGATCAAGGAGGCGGCAGCCTATCGCGCTAAAACTCTGTCTCTGCAGCGCATGCACTTCAGCAATACTCCAAATGCCTATCAAAAGGAGGAGATCGAAGAGGTAGGGACTGCGAATCCAAAAAAGATCACCAAATGGACTGAAGGATCTAGTCGCACTACAGGCGGCACTCTTCTTGCCAGTGAAGATCCCAACCAATTCGCGCCGCAGGGTGATGATCCACGAGAATTTAAGGAAAACCTCAAGAAGGTCCATTTCGGCTGCAATGCTATCTGATCAAGCATTAATTTCATTCTAATTTCCTTCGTATCTTAGAATTTTGGCCACACGTCCGTTTTTTTTTTTTTTTTTCGTAATAAGCTCTTTCTCCGATCATGTTTATCATTAGTACTGTTAATGTCTCGAAAAATGGATACGGTCACCATAAGTATCTCCAAAGGAAACCTCCGCTGTGTATTCATTCAATCAGTTAAAAAAGCCAAAATTCATTGCCTTCTAGTTTGCGTTTTTAGTGTCTCCTGCTTGGTACATTGTCAGATGTGCAGCAGTCTCCTCTATGTGAGCGCATTAGCAGCACGTTTTATTATGACCTCTATTCCGATGGTGTGATCTTGTGAGTCTTATCAAGGATACTGTACGCAACCTGTCCTCGCTTAGGCTTGTCCGTTTTGTGGCTGGTACATTCACAAATCACAGGTTTCAACGTTAATCTTTATTATTTTCACTATGGTTATTTTCATGCTGATGTAGAACATCCATGTGTTTGTTGTTTTGTCCTTTTATTTGACGCGCGACCTTTAGGTGCGCGAGATGTACTACAAGGATGTGCTTACTGCGGGTCCGAAGTCGAAGATCCTAGAGGGTCTGGGTTTGAATGACGATGTTGATGAAGTTGATCGCGTGGATGCTCGCGATGGAGTTGCCTCTTCCTCCCAAATTGCTAGTCCACGTGGAACTCTGCTGCGTCTGGACCCCGCTAATCCGCCCACCCTCGAGCCTGGCCACGTGGTCGTTGTGGGTGCTGTCAGCAAGGGTTAGTCTTTCTTAGCTCTGTAACAATGTTGGTATCAGATTCTAGTGAGTCTGCAGTTCTTGTCTCTTACATTGCTCCTTCATACAGTCATTGTTGTAACTATATAACAATATTTGATCAGCGTGTGGGTTCTAGTGATGTCAGCTTGCGTGTCTGCATTTCAGACGATCCGCATTTCGATACCTTTTCATCAAAACCGTACATAAAATCCACAATGAGACCGCTACAGCCAATTTTGAAATAACGGCTTTGCATAATTCTCCTGGATTTTATGGCGAAATGTACCTGTATCAGCAAATTTAAACCTAGTGTTTTATTAAATCTCTGACATTGCCTCTGTTTCCCAATAGTATAATCCACTCTGTGCATGTTATTTGTATACGTACTCGTTAGTGGAAAATTGCTCTATTTTCCATGTTTATAGAACCACTTTACGATCTTACACTTTTACCCGCATCGCTCACGCCCATATTTCACAGTTTGCTTCCAGCTTTCGTCTCAAAGTCAATTTGGCTTACGAAACTAATTATTCACATGGTTGGGATGTTTACTGATTTTTTCGGTAACGTTAGCTTGAAAAAGACATTGTATACGGAGTTTTTTAAGTTGTTCAAGTGGTAACCATGCGTGTTTGACCATAGGTATAATAAACCGTGACCAGCGCCACAATGTCGGTCTCTTCCAATCGGTCTTCTCCCCCAACCCCTTCGACCAAGTAACGGATGATGAATTAGAGCGCTACAAACGCAATGTGGAGCGTAAGGCCAAGGGCTTGCCCACAGAGGAGGAAGAGGAGGAGATGGAGCGCAGGAAACGAGCTACACTTGAAGCCACTGCCCCTCACTCCTCTCGTGAGTTACATGTCCCGGAGTTTACCTCGCTTGTTGCTTGGTTGTCTCTAGTCTGGTTTTCGCACTTCTGCTTTACTTAAGTAGTGACTACACCAGGTCCAGCTTTTCATCAGGATTTTTTTGCTATAGCTGGCCGAAAACTAAGACACCCTATTTTGTTCCCAGTCAGTGTATACTGCATTTAGTAGGTACGTGTGATTCAATTAAAATTAAAACGAGAATTGGTAGAAGTTATTGGTGGGTGACCACGATCGAATTTAGAAGCTGGTTTTCCCAAAAAGAATTTTCTTTCGTGAATTTATGTAGACTATTCTTTTGGAGGTATCGATGCATTGTGCTAACGTTTTACACAGATTTCGTACACAAAACCCCCAAATCCACTGTGCAAAACGACCGCCTATTTTTAAGCTCTCTATTCCTATCGTTTGTCCACTCTGTACCCCAAAATAGTCAGGTCTTTGACTGCCCTAGGGTCGACCTATGGGTTACACATCTCGTTCAGAGAATCAAACGCAGTACCGGACGAAATATTCCCGTGTGTTCCCTCGGTCAGAGAGTTGGCGGTGACCATGAAACCCAGCGCTAGTCTAGGTAGCAGTAGAATTAGTGGGAGTAATAGCACCCAGTCATGTGGTTTTAGTTCTCCCTGGGTCACCAGCCTCTGCTGTATTTTCGATGTTGTCGGCTCAATTCCCTTCGTCCCTGCTACTATTTGAGACTTAACGTTCTCCATTTACTCCCTTCTAGCTCAAAGACAAACAGAAGATATTGAGCACGAGTGTGTCCGTTCGGATACCAGTGCTGATGTCGGACAGGCAGGTTGCTTTTCTCGCTTGTTGCCCTTTTTCTGAGTGTGTATATTCAGTGTGTGGTCAAACCAACTCCGAACTTGCTTAGCCATTGGAGCCCTAGTGGGATGCTAATATCTGAAGTAATCGCGAGCATTATACATGAGTTTGTGTCTTTCACAGCCAAGTGTTGATGGATCCAAAAGCAGTCGTAAGAAGCGACGCTTTAAGATGCCGTCGTTTTCTCGAAAGGGCAAGGACAAGAAGAAGGCCTCGAGCTCAAATGAGACGCCGTCGGTCGACACCCCAAAGTAGACTTCGATCAAGTCCTCTTTTTTTCTTAATTCCTCCCCCTCTGCAAACACGCGCACCGCTTTCTCACCCCCTCTTAATCGCAGTCGGTCTGACTAAATTAACTCTTCCACCCCTGTCCCCACGCCGCAGTCGTTGAGCGAGTCGCGTATCTGTTGTCTCCTTGTTTCTTTTCGTTAAGGTTTTTTTGCTTTTAAACGGGTTAAAAATGCGTTCCAGTTGTATCTTTAACCGTATAAATAGGTTTTGCTTCTGGTGCTGATTACATTTCCACTCTTCCTCCTCAATAAGCTCCTCTCTATTTATTGAAGAGAAATAGTAAATACATTTCGGATATTTTCGATTCTAAGCCCTTTCTCAAGTTTACTAGGTAACTGCCCCGCGTGGGAAATTGGACAATTTTCACCGCTGCGTTTCAGCCCCAGCAGGCTCCCAAAAAATTTAGGCCTTTCCATCGGCGCGTATTGATTCTGTGGCATCGGTGTCGGGTGGGTTTTAGTTGTAGTTTAACCCGACCCAGTATCAGGCACTATCATCTAAACTATGGTGCCCACTTTTAAATCAAAACTGCATTGGTTGTCCCACTGTTTTACGACCATGGTACTTCTGTAGACACCAGTGTTTACTTCTCGTGCATCCACTAGTTCGTTTCAAACGCCGCCCCTCCTTTGTGTACAATGACAAAAATGAGTTTGTGGAAAATCCACAAAAGCTACCTATGAAGAGATATGCTACATCGACCGTTTTAATGGTTCTGACGGCATCTTGTGCAAGAGATCCGATCGAACGCGTTTCTTTTCCCCCGCTTGACGCTACAGGAGTTCGTCCCGCCTGAGTGGGTCTGTCGTGTGTTTAAACGTGCGTTAGCGTGCATAAGCGTAGAGAACGAGCAGACCAGTGTTCGATGCCTGCAATGAGCTTTACCAATATTTGACATTTACGAACCTGGATACGTGAATTCTAGGTTGGCAGCCTTCTTTCAGGTCGATAAAATTGTACATTGTGAACCAATCAGACGAGATAAAGTTGCATTACGTGTCTCCAGCCTGCGAAATAATGCATACTTCATTTGAAAAGTATCTTTGGGCGTACAACGTGAGTAGTTATGCACCTTGTCAACGACAAGTATTTGAGACTGTGTGCGTGAAAATTCTACATCTCAGGTGAGCCAACGGAAGGCACTACCGTTTTTGGTGCGGAGCCTGACGGCACGTCAAAAAAATGCACAAGCTAGGCCAGCTTGTGATCATGATCCATCATTTCAGGAGCGGCATCCTTAAGGTGGATTTTTGGTCCAGCTCTGGCGACACTACGTGAATCTGTCAGACCGTTGACGTAAATGAGGAGTGACTGTTGTAAGCATTTTTTTTCGTAAGACCAGGCAGAATTCGAGTCCGTTCCAGGAAGGTTGCCCTGGGTCACGCTGTCAGCTTTTCCATCGATTTCTCGTTCAAGTTAACTAACAGTAGAGCGGGGTAAAAGCTGTCGTGGAGCAACGCCCTCCGTATGGGACATTTGAAGTTGAACATAGTACTGTGAGCATCATAAAACTTTCCATCGATGCTTAGTTCATCTCTAGAGCATTTTTTAACCAATTATGATTCCCACTAACCTTTTCAGTTGTTTGCGTCAAACTTACGGGGGTTCTAGACAAGTATTTTCTAATACTGGAGTTCGAAAACAATCGGGGGCATATCTTATAGGCAGCAGACATGTGAAATGATGTCCCTGCTTTTGTTTCGGTTTGGTAAGAATTCTATTGCCTAGTTCAGCCTAGGAAGTTCTTTTTGTGCACTAATAAATCTCCGTTACTATAATGTTACTTTTTAAATTATGGTAAAAAAATGACACAACGGCTAAAATAAATGACTAATTCCGTCCACATTCCGAGTCGACATCAAAACAATAAGATTAAATTGAAGCAACATAAACACTTAGGTTAGAGAGTCCCATTGCGACCCTTAATGACTGACAGGACTCCAGTCTGTGAGCAAACAGCTCGATTGGGCGTGTGCCTGTGGGCTTTTCGTTGATCAATAAGTGAGGAATCGAAATTTACTCGAAACATCGCCTTCTTTGTGAAAAACTGTCCACTCGTATAATCTCCACAGGTCGCCAGCCTGTCCCGATACATTCGAAAAAATAATCGAATTTTTGAGCAAACAAAATTCAACACCATTCGTACAATAGATGTCAGGACTTGCCTTGCGAAACACGAGGAAGCAATTTTAAGTTCGTCGTTGAAATCAAAGCTTGTTTCGCTGAGGGGGAAGTCGAAGGCCAGATAGAGTCCAGTCTCATCTAGCCGGTGCAGACTAAGAAGACAGAGTTTGGAAACTGCGTTGAGACAGGCCTCAAGTCCAATCACTGCCCCCGCACATGCATTTCCTCCTAGTCCTCGATGATGGCATAGGGCTGAAGAACGAACTTTAGGCCCAAACTGGATGTCTGTAAACCATCTTCCGATTCAGAAATGATTTCAATGTGTGTGAGTACTAAAATCGGTTACGTAGCGTGTGATTGTGGAGAGTGACAACTGGTTAACTAGCAATCACCTTGAAATACGACAACCTGTTTAAGGAAGCCATGGGAGCCCATGCACTACGGCCGAAGCTACTCCATTTTTTGGACAATCATATGACACTCTATTGCTGGTATTTATTCCGTCAAACTTGTCCATACTTGTACAACAAAAACTTATGGGAAAAGCCGCAAGTGATAACTTGATTCCTACGTTACGTACCGCAACTCGCTAAGCACTAAGCTGTTGACAGCTCTCTATCCTCTTAACTTAAACCACGATGGAAATCAATGCAAAGCATTTGGCAGATGCAATGCCAGAATGCAATCTGTGAGACACCCGATCACCAAATGCTGACCTAAAGGATAAGAATCCAGTCTCATTTCCCTCAAAAAAAGTAAGACACAAATTCCTCATCCACTTACAGTTTTGCATACCCAACATTAACAAACAATTTAATTCCCACTCGTACAATTCAATTGAAAACATACGTGTGGAAAATCCAGCCCTAACTATCTTAAAAGCATTCGCGTTTCGGTATCATAGAAAGTAACGCGACAAAAAGTATACAAAAAAGAGTACCAAAAGCAACGAAAATCATCGGTTGCCAAAATTCGAATCGGAGAGAGGCTATCACCACTGCAAAAAAGAGGAAAAAAAACTAGGTAGAATCGGTACCAACTCCTGATGCAAGCATCTGAGGTCTAAGTATGTTTAGCGGTCAAAACGGTCAATGACGAACACGGCCTAATGGAACACTGACATGTAAGGATCTAACTACGTGTCTTCAAACAGGCTGCCTTGGTATTGAACAATTAAAAGTAGTAGCGAAGTATGTTCATAAAAATAATAGATAAAATCATGGCGCGAGAATTTGCAAACTCATTTTAATTGTCAAAATTACCTCAGGTATGTTAAATGTGTTGTCAGTAAACGATATGTGAATAAGTCGTGAACATCCCCAGTATTGCTAGAACCACTGAGTAACTTTTCGACAGTTTTTTCACTAAGTGGCTTAAAAGCCACATCGACTGTGTTGGCTGTTAGGCTAGTGTAAAGTTGCTTAAATTGGGGTGATAGAATGCATAATACACCTCTCTGAAATCTGGCGGTGATTCGGCGCTCGTCTACTCATACGTTTAGCAACCAGAAAACTTCAGCTTTTGCCCATTGTATGGTATATGGACCATGCTAGTGGCGCTTTGAGTCTGCTGAACCCTAGAAGGGCACGTTCCTCCGCAGTGCCTGGGTCTAATGCGACTTTAAATGATACCTAAAAACGCTGCAACTTAAGCAAAATTTTAGCTTTTTGAGACAATACTGAGGAAAAAAGACATTATACAGGGGCGGAACATATATTAAGCACAGGTAAGATATTTGGGCTACTGGCATAACCCGAGTGTCACCCGACGTGAATCAAAGGCCGAGCCAAAAGTGGTCCACTCTAATATTAGGAGATAAACGATCGTCATATTAAAAAATATCTGATATGATGGTAACACCTTTTTTATACTACAACCGTTTACTTGGTTAAATGAATAGGGTTTAACTACAGCGTTTTCACCGCACAATGATGCCATTTTGTGCACAATAAGCATTTTAATCTTCTCAAGGTACTTTCATTCCAAGAAACAGATTTTCCTGCCGAGAAAACTCTAATCCCACTTACTACTAAAACCCTTAGGAACCTTGAGGTAATTGAGAATACTGCCCACATTTGCATCAATTTGCGTAACATTTACGTAGTTGAAGATGGAACTTTGTAAATTAAAGTGTAATTACTTATGCTTTACTTGCTTGTCATGACTTCTTCAAATGACTCGTGTTCTTAAAATTTTCATTGGTGAGTTTTATATACGTTCAGATACACGCCTTTGTGAGTTATGACGTCATCCGTTTCTCCTGAAGAGCTAATCTACAAAGCTACGGAATCTCCGGGTGCGTGCAGTTTTAGCATTTTGAAGTATCTATTGTAACCTTCTTTCCTTTGGTCGTCTCACGTGCTGTTAGGGCTCGTTTCCTTTGTCAATAAATGTTATTTAGCTTCCATTGTATATGATTGCTGTTTTCTATCCTGTGTAGTGTATAGTTAATTTTAGATATGTTTCATGTGTGCTTGCGTTAGGTTTTGTCGATTTATTATTTGCAAATATATGACCGGACTTGATTTGAGGTTATTTTGAGTGTTAGGAGTTTTTTTGATTTCAATTGCCAGCTTGTGCGTTTCTAAACAGTTTTTATAATAATTTTGATTGCTTTACTCTCTATTTTAGATACTTTTGTTTTTGGAGATCTTAGGGACATTAAATGTGTTAAGTCGCTGGACCCGAATTCAGAGCTGAGCAGTTTACTGAATCTCTTTTGTTTCGGAACCTATGGCGACCACAAAAATCCGTCTTTTCCCTCCCTTTCTGCAGCTCAACTTCGTAAACTTCGCCAGCTTACTATTATTTCCGCCTGCGAATATCGGCATCACATCCCTTATGATGTTCTGCTCAAAAGTTTAGACCTCACTTCTCTTCGAGAACTGGAAGATCTCATCATCGACCTTATTTATGCTGATGCGATCGTAGGAAAGTTGGATCAGCAAAAAAGAATGCTTGTCGTAGAATCAGCTATAGCACGAGACTTCAAACAGGAGGATGTAAGTAATCCTGTTATTACCGCATTTCACTTATGTCATTGTATCCTGATCGAAATTCGACGACACGAAGTTTTGTACGTTGAGATTTTCTTTTATTAAATTGATTGATTGTTTGTGCCATAATAGTGGCGGTTCCCGTTCCTTAAAAAATTTTGAATCATTGGTATTTGTTAAAATGGGTCTGGATTGAATTTATATTGGCTTCTAATATGGTTTTGTGATGCAAAATGCATGCGAATTTTTTAATTCGCAGTTACCCAATTTGAAGACGGATTTGGATTCGTGGAGCGATCGGGTCAACTCGTCACTGGAAAAGTTGGCTAGTAATGTTACTAAGGCCGCGTCGCTGAGGGCGGAATGGGCCGAGAATAGGATTCGTATATCGGCTAACCAGAACAACATTAATTCAAAAATTCAACAAGAGGATAACAAAATGGATGTAAGTGTGTAGTATATAGGAGAATTCCTTTTCTCGTTTGTTAACTTAGAGTATTACTAGCGCTGTTTTCAACGCCAGTGCTGCCATTTATCCTTTGTCAGTTGAACCGCTTCTACTTGCATAATATTAGTAGCGTCGTTTTTAGGTTGACTCCAATATGGATGTAGATGACCAGCTGGAGATATACTTAGATGATAACGGTGAGCCGTTATTACTCCCTCGGCCTTCAATTTCCACATCCGCTAGTGGAGAGAAGGGTCGTCGGAACCCCTTGCGTGTCCTCCAAAAGGGACGCAAGAGCGGCAAATAGAGGTGATGAGTTTTCCTTTTGTACAAACATCGCATTGGGTTTTGATGAATACACTGCTCATATAAACTTCACTATTTCGTTGAAAAATGCGCTATGTTTTGGCTGCGCCAAATGATTATTTTTCATCGGGCTGTATGAATATGGTGTTTTCATTACCAACGATTTCTGGAAAAATTATTTATTAAAGGCTGTCGTTTCCACCACTTTCCTCTTTATTTTGATAGTGCTCTTGTTTTAACTTTGGCTCTCGTGTATGAAATACTCTGTACAAAAGATGTGTAGTTTGGTATTTGGCTTACGGTACAATTGAAATATTTGTCCTGGGTGGGGTACGTCTGTTTATAGCTTGGACGAGGAATTTTGCTCCAGTGTCTAAGTTTGTTAATTTGAAATAACTCAATGGGGTCAGAAGTTGGTTAGAACTCATGTATACCTGATGGTTGCGGGTAAAATGTTATTTTCGGGGTTCGCATTTCTTTGTTCTTCGCATGCATAGCAATCGTATTAAATCCTGTAACTGTACGCGGCTAAAATGGATTTTCGGCAATAGTTGTAAGTGTTTGGCACGAAACTTGTGTCAATTTGATTATGCCTTGGTCTGATGTTAATCGCGAAGGTTCTCAGTCTTCCTATTTGTATAGCACTGGCATCGATAGTTGTGGTATCATAATGTTAAGAAACACCCGTTACCCGTGGTTCGGTGAAACAGTCGACATCATTTAAGCCCTCGAGGGCATAAAATAAGTTAGCGGGTGTTTGCTGTCTTCTATTCTGTATGATGGGAAAACTACACTACTGATTTTGATTCGTACTTGGAATGACTACTGCACCACCTCTCGTTAAAGTAGAGCAAAATTTTTAATCAAGAACTGGGACCGTATTTAACCAGTGTATTTATTTACATTACCTGAAATTTTGCTTTTAATTTGAGCAGTCGGTTTGCTTGTATTTCTCTTTATTTTTTGCCCCTGAAGATCAATGAGTTGTATTGTTGTGGCATGTATTGAAGGCTCTGGACGCCACCTCGAAAAGCTTTCTCGACTTCGGTTAAACATTTCTTAAAGCTAGTCAAATTTCGATGTATTAGAGCGTTTCAAAAATTTTCTCAAACCCACCTTGTCTATTCATGATGCTGACAATTGAGGCCGTGAAACATCAATGCAGAAGCTACTTAATACCTTTGCCATAATCGTCATGACTACCATCTACAAATTATGCATTCGTTGATACGCTTATTCACACTTGTTATGTTATTATTCTTCTATTTATCCAATCGAGACCCAAAACTGTTTTGATTTTGCCCAGAGTTACCATTGAAGATACATAGGTCCTCATTTTAGCACACATATCCGGCTTGGAAGTCGTAGCTGAATACCTGTATTGCATCATATCTAGATGTCCTATGATTGCGCTTGGTGGAAGTGGCGTATCCCCGTAATCAAGACATCCTACGGACCCAGTAGTAACCAACTATTAACTTGATCGTGGTGATAGTGATTGTGGCTGGATGCGTTGTAGTTGGCCAAGGCTGGTGCCACATCCGCCGTTGTTTGCGTCCGTCTTACCGATGACTTATCAGTTGCTGGGTTAATTTTCCATCATCTTTTGTATTTGTGCATTATGATACACACTTCCAGTGTTTATTTAATGTTTTGTCCTCCTTATTTGACGAAATGTCCCCACTCGCCGACATCCATGAGCGTTTACGCCGCTAATGTTTATACGTTGTTGAATATTGGCATTGATGACGTTTTGTAGGGGTTGGGGTAACGACAGTGCCGTGTAGCTTATTTTCAATGGCTGAGGTTAAATGATCCCAAAGGTAACATGTTTTCATGTTCCAGTCTATGCTGTTGCGAACGTCAGCCATAAGAAACCCAAGTTGGTTGTAAATAGCTAATCTGAGCTGCACCTCTAGTGGTTTTCTTTCCTTTACCAATTAAATCACAAAAATATGAGATTTTGTTACTAAAACGTTGATGATGCACCTGAATTAGTATTTTGTACGCATCTGTAAAAATAACCAAGTACTCGGGGAAAAAATTAGGCCTCAGTAGTTGGTGCGCACGAAATGGGTTTTGATGCAGTGAGAGGGGGAGTTGATTAGAATCTTAAAAGCTGGGACATACGGCAGTTGGGTTATATTTCTTGCTTGATTACAATGAACAAATTACGGTGCAGTATGGCACACGAGCGGTCGTTGTCCAGTTATTACCCAGTGTCGGTTAACCGGTGAGGCCTTGAGTGTTACTCGTCCTTCTCCACTGAAGCCAGTCTGAAGACATTGACCCAGTGGGCGACAGGGGAAAGGGGGTCTAAATAATTTATTCTGGTCTCACATTCGCTATCGTTCCTCATCCATTCTCCACCTCTACTGACCTTAGAAACTTCTGAAGTGGCCGTGTCAGTGGGTGACACGGCCCCGCTGTCATCCTGTCCAGGAATACCCGCCACACACCCGCTCTGAGTCACACACGTGGCGCGACTCGCTCCACTTCGAATTCGAGAATAAGGTGGAAAAGAATCATTGTCTAGCTATGCCTGCTATGGCTGAAGCAACACCAGTTTAAAAGTCTGGCAAACGTTGATGCAGTAGACTTCAATGTAACATTTTCTCATGTAATTTGTCAGCAAAGTTGTTTCTTAAATGTGTGAACTAGGCAGCGTCTCTCGATAACCTCCTTAGGTTATACACTTCTATAATTTTATTGTGGCTTACTCCGCCATAACGAAAAATTTGAAAGAGTTTTTGAACTAGCCTCTATGTGTTCGAAACAACTTTTGTCGAAAAAACAGCAGTATTAAGTCGAGACCTACTGACTTGACAAAGTTGCAAATGGTTTCTGAGGTTCCTCATGGCTTTGCATTATTTAGTACAAAGTAGAGTCAACAGAAGCCCTGACCTACATGGTATATTCGAAGAAGAGTACAAATTATTTATCAATGTGGCTATAACGGGGCAGTTTATTGTAGGAATTCGATCTCTTCACTATGCTGTACATTAATTTGGTCGGTTTAGAGGATTTGGGTAAGGCAGAAGTGGTTCAGGGGGTGTGTAGCGCCCTGAGACCCCCTGAAGACAAAAGAAGGCATAATGCTCGGGCAAAATGCATATTATCGACGTACAAAGTGTGAAGGTACGATGGCAGAGCACTCAAGCCGCTTCCTGATCTAAACCAAAGGCTAAACAAACAGCCAACGCGTTAGAGTAACAACTTGCGATCAACGAATTCTAAATCAGTTTTGTTCTTTTTTAGCTAACTAGAATCAAGCCCTAGAATCAATTCCCTCAAGCACAAAGATGGATTGGTGCTCTAACAAGCATATATTCACCCTCTATGTATATTTAGCTATTATAATTGCGCAGGATTTTTAGCCAACACTAGTAGTTTCAAACCATGACTACTTCACCCATTCCCTGAGCTTCCCAGCCCTTTGCTCCATCGCCTCTGTGCCTTGCAGTGGTTTCAGGATTGACGCGGGCATTAAGATGCGCTGTTTTGTACTCGATAACCTCTCCAGCAGACTTCTGTTGCAAATCTGTTTATCAACAAATTAATTATGGTTTTCTGTAAAAAATCATATAAGTTTTGTGAATCCAGGTGCTGACAAAATTTGTGCATAGCTGTTTTTTTGTGAATTGTAGTTTTTTTCACAACTAATTTGCGACAGCTCACTAAAACAATAATACGTCTGCGCTAAAGTCACAGGAAGTGTCATGTCACGTCCGAGCTCTAATGTCCTCAGCGTGACTACGGTGATGGCATCACGTCTCAGTCTTATTTTCACCTTGGCATTGACTTTTTCCCCATTCGAACGTTTTCACTGAATTTTATGTGCAAAACGCGATTTCACAAAGTATTTGTGAAAAATAAGAAGGTGTGGAATGCTATTAGCTGCACTCCACCTTACGAAGGGAGAAGCCCAGACACCAAGAGGCTACCAGAGTTAATCTGCGACGTGTTTTAGTGTCAGCGCATTCGCAAGAAGGTCACAAAGTAGTGCTACCTAGGGGATTGGTTTCTACTACATTTTGAGCCGGATTGTCCATCATCATTTTCCTCTCAATCATCATCGCCAAATCACAGTGTTACTCCATAGGTTAAATTTGCTTATTCCATACTGCAAACAAGCCAAATTCTTTACTAATACCTGATTTATTCGATCGAGTTGAATATTTTTTGACTATTTACGTCTGGAACTCTGTCCACTTTTTTCAACAATGGTAAGGAATTAGTGGAGTGACCATCTGTTCAGTAAATCGAGAATGAATGAACTGTCGCCTTCACTCTCGTTTACTCATTATTCGACTCGGAAGGGGACTCCGTCTAAGTTGTCGTCTTGGCAACTTGCGTGACATAGGGGTGATCCGATCAAACTTTAGTTCCCCCCTCCTATGACAATGCCTCACACATGGGATTATTAAAAATGTTTTGAAAAACTTGCAGTACCTTCAAGTAGAACTAGTAAAAACGAAACATGGAATAGGAAGCTAAGGCAAGTTTTTCTCTTTTCGGCCACACGATTGTTGTGGTACTCTTTTCTTTTAAACAGTATTTAGGTGTAATTAAATAACTCACCTAGTATTTTTGTAACTGAGACGGGAATGATAAGCACATTTCCAATATAATAGCTTAAACTCACAAAACCCTTAGCTACTATTGCGTTTATTGCTTTCGGCCAAACATGGTCGATAATTTAATACATAATGTGAGGTAATACATATATTTGTATATATATATATATAAAAGTCTTTGAGGGTTTTTACGAATGCTGTTGCATTTCACTATCCAACCGATTAACCAATAGAAACAATGGGTTTGCCGTATCGCTCATTGGTTTGGCCCATCCACTGTGGTCGCGGTGTTTGTAATTCCGAGTCGTGGTTACGTAATCAACTAGCCAATCGAAATGGCCATGTGATCCCTTATGGTTTATTGGTTGTTGTCAGAGGGAAAGAATTAATCTCTCAATCAAGGCTCCATTCAAGGGTTTTTCGAGCAGACGTTTTCAGTGCTCCTGAAATTCAGACGTGGATTCTATCTCACAATGAAGAAGGCGTCTGTCGCTGGTGAGCATAGATCTCGATCTCCGATAAAGGCTAATCATAACGTTCAGACTTTCAATTCAAATCAGCCATTATGGAATGGCATACAGTAAGTTCTTTTTCAAATTACAAGAACGTATAGGATGAGTAACAAGAATTTAGTTCTTCCAAGTGCGCTTGCGAGGCGAAGCGAAACTAATCTCAATAATGCACTTAGTCGAATTAACCGACAATCATCTTACAACCTACGCCGCAGAAAACCCCTTGAAACTTCAAATTTACAGGACCACTTCCCTAGGGTAATGTCTACCACCTGCCCTTCTTTTGCAAAAGAATATGAGAAACTTACATGTGCCTGTTGTTCACCACCATCTCCGCCATGCGCTGGCGTGACGGCCCAGATGGCAACTGCTACAACGATGCTCCCTTTACCATCAGAGAAACCTGAGTTCACTCAGAATCTTGCACCAATTTGTCCGGTTCCAATGCTTTCCTCCTCTCCCATCAGTCAAATTAATCCGTTATCCTACACTCCCGTCTCTATTCAATCTGTGGAGACTCAGACTTCCCTACCATCTCGTAAGTTTCTGTTATCAAAAAAATATACCAATAATCCATGTTCTTGAAATGAATGATTTTTCCTTCTTGGATAGCTGAACGTGGTCGTAAACGCAGAAGATCCAGTGGGCAGTTGATGACTTCAATTAAGAGGAAATTTAGCAATCTTCGTCGATCTTTAAGTTCGGATCGACTTACTACTCGAATAAAGGTTGAACCATTCGAGGCACTTCCAGAGATAATTCGGGATTTTCCGATGGAAGAAAACGCGTCGGTCAAGGTAAACTTTGTTGAGAAATGTGATAATGGTGCTTACCTCATTCAATTCCAACGAAATACCACGACGCAGGCCTTCGGTTTATTCTTTAATCTGGATGCTGATGGATTTTACATCAGTCGATTGGCCAAAGAGCAGCACATACGAGTGTGTCAGAAGTATCTGCATGTGAATGACAGGGTCCTTGCCATCCAGGGTGTTCCGTCCAAGCTTCTTAGCGCCGAAGGAATTCGCGGTCTCCTTCAAGGATGTCATTTGGTCACAATCAAAGTGGGTCCCGTCAATAGATTTAAATGACCTTCCAACAGTTTTTTTTTGTACATAAAACATTCATTCAGATGTGACATGACTGTACCATGATAGGTATTTTTGTTGGGGTTGCGCAATCCCATGTATGCCGATGCGAATGATCAGATTTCGGCTACTGAATAGATAGGTGTCGAGTTAATTGCTGTTTTTTAGGCCTCGTGTGCTTACTCGCATTCCGGGGTGACCATCATTACTCATCACATTGGGGTGGCCAGGGAAAGGGCAACACATGGATGATTGAAACCGACTGTACGACATCTCCCCGTTTCGATTTCATACACACGTGATTAAAACCAAACCTCGCCTGTTGGATCGGTGCGAACTTTGAAGTAGTTATGCAAGGGTCCTTAAAAAACACGAGAGATGTCACGGTTATATCTGCCAAAAATATTGAAAATATGGGGCTATCATGGATCCTATTTTGTTTATTGAGCAATTTATGGGTTAAAATGAGCCAGTATGCTTATGTGTTTTGGATTTTCTCTAAGAGAACAAGGCGGAAGTTGTCGACTTCGCGGGTATTAGGCGACCCGGAAGCTACTGAGGGGGTGGCTTCACTTCCGGTCATGTCCCACCTGTTGTGAAAATTCTCCCTAGGACTTTTTAGGTATTCTCATTTCAAATGTCTTTGTATAAGAGGATTTCTACGCTGGCAAAGGGCTAATTTAACGAATTTTGTTGAGTCAAAATAATACTGCAAAAATAAAAACAGAAAAGCCGCTTTATTCAAACTGACGGATCATCTGTAATTGCAGAGAATGTTTTCAACTCGCCCTCATACTTTGACGTTGCGAAGAGGTCTGAATTTGTGTATATGTAATTCGACCAATGAAAAACATCCTAGATACCATCGTTTTGTTACTCGCTTCTGCGTTTAGTCTTATTTGTTAGGCATGAACAAAAATAGCTATTTCAAAATGATCATGATTAGCAAGTTGAATATATCGGGGATAGGCAAACGTTTTGCGTAATGGACAAGACTTTCAATTAATTTATCAATGGCACGAAATGCTAATCCGTGTTCGTCTTGAGCGTCTATTGATGGTTGCAGCCACCATTTGTTATTCTGAGGTCAGACATTGCTCGGCAATTTTACCCACATGCCTATAACCGAATAGTTTCATAGGGCAAAGAGGAGGGTGAAGATCTGTTGTTATTCTCATCTTTTTAAATTTTTAATCAGTTGAAACATTCCCTAAATTCGGTTATGGACATTAAGCGACACCAACAGTAAGGATAAGATGGTGGGTTTAGTTTTTTGAGAGGAAAGCCATTGTGTCTAATTATTGGTAGTATCCTTGATCCCAGGTTAATAGTGAAGACAGGACAAGATGTTGGAGCCTACATTTAAATGTACCTATCGTGTTACATGGAGTTAGAGAGCTGTAACTTGTGGTGTCTAATCAGAAATGCAGCTCCTCAGTGTGGAGTTCGAAAAATAACTGGTTCAACTACGATTGGATTGGTTTAAAGTGGCCCTGTTGATCACTGCCCATTTACGCTGCCACAGCGTTAATAAACCCAGGTCTGAACTTTTAGAGTCTTAATACCAGTATTCTATAATGTTAAAAATCACGCATATTCGAACGTTGACCCAGTCAGGCGACTCATTTTCCAAAATGACATGTTACTTTTCGGAATCCTCCATTTATGTCTGTGCCGCAAACTGATGAAATATAAAACTCCTCCTTCTAATGAGCTTATGGTGGACAGCCCCATACATTTTGTCCCTTCGAGATTAGCCAACAGATATTAGAATTAACCGATATGCAAGAAATATTTGTATTCTACAATTTGCAAAGTCAATTTTACAAATTGCTAATGTTACTGAATTACCACTTGTTACTTGGTGACGATGGCTAATGAACGATTTCCACTATAAGCTCTCCAATGGTTTCAAATACCTATAAAAAATTTACCAACTCCTTACGTTAAAATACATTCTGTTTAACTAAGTCACTTCGATTACGGTTATTGCCACTTCTTGTGTGGTTTCCAAAATTGTTAGAAGTACATATTTTATAAAAAATGGTCATCAAAATTTAAATCCCTTTGCCATGACGAAGCAATTGCTAACTGCGGTGTCACTACGCTTTTGGACGTGAAGCTAAGCCTGTGGCTTCCAATCGCCTAGCAACAGGTGGCTCGTACAGACATGTTTGGATCACCTCAAATTTCATTCTGCGACCAAGACAATTGAACTCATTTTCGTTATTACAATTTTCTATCCTCCAAATTGTCCAATTCGACAGTTATTTGAGTGTTTGTCGATTGAATGAAGGAGTTTGAAGACCATCCAGTTCTAAATCTTAAAAGTATATGTGCCGCCATACTTCACTGACCTTTTCTTTTTTGGCCATAAGTTCAAAATAAGTTTGAGTCGTACGGTGTACGCACAATTTTGAGGTTATTTTCGTCTTTCTATGCGAACCTTGGACGGCTTGTAAAACAGCAATGCGCTCAAGTGGTGATCAGAAGGTAAAACAGAAAAAAGAAGGACGAAATCAGGTGATTGTGCCTCTTATTTTGATTTTTGTGTTACGTTTTGATTAAATCTTCCACAATGTGCAGCTGAAGTCATTTAGGGCGGGAAATATTAAACATGTACAATTCGTGAATTTTCAGTTATCCAGCGCACCCTATTCCATCACCTTTCTAATAATTTTGAACAAAAATAGCTTTTGATTTCCCCTTTTTTTATTGCAATTTTTATTTAACAGTTACTGTGTTATCACTTAAGTGACGTTAATTTCTCCTTTAGTCAGAGGATTTTCAATTCGCGCTTCAAATAGAGCAATTTATCTTTTATGAGAACATTCCGTACAATCCTTGTCTATATGATAATGCATATCTGACCAATTGTTTTTAGAAAACCTTGCTAACTTTACATCTTTATTCAGGAGGAATCGAGATAGTCTTTACCTTTCAGATGGATGCGTGCTGTGTTGCGATGGTAGACTGATGACCTTACTTGAAAACGTACGATAACCCGGCCACCACACGCGTGGCTGCTGGCCCGTATGGCCATAGAGATCTCGTTGCTATACTCCCACATTAACCTCCCACCCTCTTCCCTCATACTCTGCCTTGGCAACGCAACTATCACAAGTCTCCATTAGTAGCGATGTGCCGTTGGGACTAACTTAAACAGATGGTTATGCAACAGCATTGGGAGGTGGGAGGGCGTTGGGGTGGTTGGAGCTAGTTGCTGATTTATGGTGCACATAGCCCTCATTTAATTGAGTGCCTGTGCCATTGTAGCTGAATAGGTTTAACCGTTCAGAAAGCTCCTTTAAATGCATGAAGTCTGCCTACATATTTAAGCCTGACCTTTCGGTAAGATGCAATTTTATTGACAACTTAACCCTTTCATTTTTTGTAAGTTTCTCAACCGATCTGTTTGTTTAGACTCCGGTTATGTATACAAAAATGAATCAAACAGGAACGAATGAATAGTCGAACAACAAATTGACATTTGTGCAAACATCCTTGAAGAATTCCCGTGGAACAACCCCGGTGCCATTCATGCCCTGGGCTCGAATCTGCCTGACCGGTCACAGTATAAGGTGGATCATTTCTCTTTTTGGTTTGATATAACTGTATGGCCACAAATTAGCGGCATTAGAGATCTCTCTTTGGTTGTAGACGTCATTAATTCATTTTCGCAGCTTTATGGGCTTACCCTTCTAAGATTAAATAGCCGTGAACTTTGGAATTGGTAATGAAGTCCTAGAATCTGAACAGACGTGAATTAATGCAAAACAGCCTAATTATTCATGACAGCTACATATTTATGGTTATGGAATACAAAATGTCAAATGCATGCAATATTTAAGCAATAGGCGCATGCAAATTTAGTGACTGAAAATGAAATGATCACATATTCCTATAGAAAAGGTTGCCGAATCACTTCCGAATTCACAATTAAAATAACCCTGTAGGTTGCAAAGATACCTAGATTCTCGTATTCATGCCCTTTCCATTTCAGTTAAGTAGGCATGAAAGAAATAAAATTTGCGGTCAAATGTATTATCGTAAGAAACCTCAGGCGTGTTCATTAAATAAAAAAAACACCTAAAGTGGAAGAACTGGGCCTGTGAGCTTGGAGAAAACAAAAGGAACTAACATTAGAAAAGGCCTGGTAGTTCGTGAGAGCTATCTTAGGTCTGGCCCACATACGTCCACTTCAGTAAACGTAAACCATAGAGCGTAATTCTGTGACAGTTAGTTATGTATAAAATCAAGAACTGAAACATTACAGCACAGTCAATGATGAAGAATAACAACATGGCATTCCTGCATGGGTTATACTTCCAAAGCTGGTGATATATTCCTGCAATTTGTTTAAACCGAACTGGTGCATTAGCTTCCGCTAGTGGGTGCAGCATTACTGACAAGATGCTACGATAGAGCACTCTTTTTACTAAAAGAAGCCAGTTAATGGCACAACAGCCGAGAGTTCACTTCTCCAGTCCCGAACCTTTCCCCACTCTAACCCCACATTTTGCAACTCCTTTCTCCTCCCACCTTTGTACCATCAACACCAACACCATCACAAATGAAGTACTTCAAATCAAGCCTAAATCCATGCATTTACACTGCAAAATGTGGCTATGTATTGGTAGTGCGAAAGTGCCGGCAGCCGGTAAACAGGGTCTCCGGTCCGAGCTAGCGAAAGCAGTCGTCGAAGAGATATGGGCGAGCCTCATGGTTGTGCACGGACAGGGCCAATCAACCGCCTCAGTTGTTGGAGCCATGTGCTATTTATGCGTGGCCTCACGCGCACGGATACAGATCAATCACCTGTCTCCTGACCTCGTTAACTCTTTCCTTTATCAATGTCGGTTGGGGTGACGATGATCACCAACATGATAGGAGTGTTTATGTGACACTAGTACCAATAGTAAATGTTCGCGATACAACCGTACCTGTATTTGCCTTCATATAACTGTTTTGGGAGTTTCAAGCTCTTTATATTACTGCGCCTAACTACGAAAACTATAGTTCAAGACAAACAAATCTGCTTTAGTATCCGTCAAACGATGACTATACCCTCGTGTTATTTGTAGGGTTATTCGTGATTTTATGCTTTGCATAAAAGTATTGCCAATTTAGCTTAAAAGGTTAAATTTGTAACTTCGTCCTTTGCTTACCACTGGTACTTTGTCATCCTAAATCATTTCAACGTTTCGTAATGTCTTAAAAAACAATAACTGCGTTGATTTGATGCGTCCCTT